CCGCGCGTCCTTCTCCTGCCTTTCGTTCCCGCCCCCATGTCCTCCTCAATCCTGGGCCCTCGCTTCTCGTCCTTCTGTTGTTGACTGTGAATCGTGCCACGTGAACGCATGCCATGTAGTTCGCGCAACATGTGATGGCGCCTGCGCTGTCATTGTCCTGCGCTGTCAATGTCCTGGCAAGTTTGGGCCAATTCCTCTTGCCACTTTGTGCACATGGGTTGGGTACGTCACAGGGCAATTTTCGAAACCGCTGCATGTCTGGATGTGCCTCCGGCGCTGCCCCCGGGTGCCGAAATCGGGGGAAAGCTTCCGCCCTGTTTCTCTCAGGACGCTGCATGTCTGGGGTGTCTCCTGGCGCTGCGCGGGGCGTCCCCCGAGAGGACGCGCCCAAGAAGAAGAAGGCCAAGGCCTGAGCGGCTGGAGCGCGCGGCCTGGCCCCACCCTCTCGCGCGGCTGCTGCGCCGCAGTCGTCGGAGCTCGCGGCCAGAAACCATGGGAGGAGGAGGAGGAGGAGGAGGAGGAGGAGGAGGAGGAGGAGGAGGAGGAGGAGGAGGAGGAGGAGGAGGGAGGAGGAGAAGAGGAGGAGGAGGAGGAGGAGGAGGAGGAGGAGGAGGAGGAGGAGGCGGGGGAGGAGAGGAGGCGGAGGAGGAGGAGGAAGGAGGAGGGCGGAGGAGGAGGAGGAGTGAGGAGGAGGAGGAGGAGGAGGGAGGAGGAGGAGGAGGAGGAGGAGGAGGGAGGAGGAGGTGAGGAGGAAGAGGAGGAGGCAGAGGAGGAGGAGGCGGAGGAGGAGGAAGAGAACGAGGTGGATGATGATGAGGAGGAGGAGGAGGAGGAGGAGGAGGAGTTCGGAGGAGGAGTAATAACATTACGAATAATCATAAGAAGAAGATGATTCAGAAGAAACCGCAACAATAATACGAATACTAGTGATATTAATTACCAAACGATTAATACTACGAAGACTACTAATAAGAATAATATGGCGAATCATACTTTACTTACTAATGAGAAGACGACTAATCATACTACGACTAATCATAAGAAGCAGGCGAGTCATAGCAATACTATTACGAAGAGCAAGACGAAACATACTAATACAACGACTCATTTCGAGGGGTAAAAATATTCAGAACAAACAGAACACTAACACTACGAACTATAAAACATCGAACGCTAAGAGTACTAGTACGAACACCAATAATAACACTACGAATGACAACACAAAAGACACTGCTAAGACTAATAATACGAGTTCTAATGATACTAATAAGTACCAAACTATTCGTAATCGTACAAGGGATACGAAACACAATACTAATACCAATAGTAATCGAACTACTAATGCTCAACTAAGATGATTAATACTATGACACATGAGAAAATACCAATGCTACTCATACCAACGATATTATTAATACTCATAATCAGAAGAGTCATGCAACGAATACCAATGAAACGAGCACTATTCATACACATAAGAAATGTATACTACGAATACTACTACGAATAATACTATCAACACTAATCGCAATATCAGCAATAGTAATACTTATGGTCGTCATTCTAGTAATATTCATACTTAAATTACGAAGACTACTACAGCAACAACAACTACTACTAATACTAACGATACTAATGCTACTGATAATAATTATAACAATAATAGCATCCATATTAATAATAACAGCAAAAATAGTACCATTGCTAATACTAATATGATTATCATTATGATGATCATTTGTTTATGAGTCATGATACTAGTACTAATGAGAAGTCGAAGAGGAGGAGGACGAGGAGGAGGAGGAGGAATGCGGAGGGAGGGAGGGGGGATGGGGAGGGGGAGAGGGAGGGGGAGAGAAGGATGAGGAGGAGGAGGAAGAGAGGAGGTGGAGGACGAGGAGGAGGAGGATGATGATGATGAGGAGGAGGAGGAGGGCGGATGAGGAGGAGGAGAAGGAGGAAGAGGAGGAGGAGGAAGAGGAGGAGGAGGAGGAATACTCATTCGAAGAAGAATAGTACGAATAAGAATAATAATAATAATAATCATACACATAATAATACTTCGAATTGTAAGAATGGAAAGAATACTGCTACTAAGCTAATAATAAGAAGAGCATCCATACTCATAATCTTCAGAATAATGACAATACCATTCAGAATAATACCAATGACAATTCTCATTTAATAATAGTAAGAATACCGTTCGTAATATTAATAATCATAAGAAGCAGAAGAAGAGGAGGAGAAAGAGGAGAAGGAACAGGAGGAGAAGGCAAAGGAATGAGGAGGAAGAAGAGGAGGAGGAGGAGGAGGAGGAGGGGGAGGAGGGGGAGGAGGAGGAGGAGGACGAGGAGGAGGAGGACGACGAAGAGGAGAAGGACGAGGAGGAAGACGAGGAGGGGGAGGAGGAGGAGGAGCAGGAGGAAGGAGCTCAGGTCACGCCGGCGCAAGACATTATCAACCTGTTATCTATCTGTCGGCCTCTCTTCAAGGTGCATGTAAGTGAATACTGACCACACTATCCATATGCAATCCTTCTTTCGGTCCCACTATTTGTCGGGCCCACTATCTATCCGTTGATCTCACTCTCAATCTATTGGAGAGGCCTTACGGCTGGTGCCGCCGACCGTGAACGACGATGACGACGACGACACTGGCGGCGGCGGCGGAGGCGGCGGCGGGGGAGGACGACGACGACGACGACGACGACGACGACGACGACGACGACGACGACGGCGACGACGACGACGGCGGCGGCGGCGGCGGCGGCGGCGGCGGCGGCGGCGGCGGCGGCGGCGGCGACGACGACGACGACGACGGCGACGACGACGACGACGACAACGAGCGTTCTCGGGGGCCTCTTGGGGGTAGTTTTGGGGCCTCTTGGGAGGCTCTTGGGGGGCCTCTTGGGAGCCTCGTTGGGGGACTCTTGGGGCTTCCTGGGGTCACTCGGGGACTCTTGGGGCTTCTTGGGGAGCTTCTTGGGGGCATCTGGGGCTCCTTGGAGCCTCTCAGGCCGAGGGCTCGAAATGTCCGTTCAGTTCTCCTTTTTGGGCTCCCTCTTGGAGCCGCCGTGGGTGCCTCTTGCGCTGTTTTGGATGCCTTTAGGGCGGTCTTATGAGGGCCTTCTTGGGTCGTTTTAGGGCCCTCCTGGAGGCCTCTTGGGCGATCTTGGGGGCCTCTTGGTCTTGGAGCGTCGGGAAGCCGACAAGGCGAGAACGCCAAAATCTTTCAAAACTGAAGAGAAATCTGTGATTTTGTGCCCCTGCGGGCTCTCTTGGGAGTGCTCTTGGAGGCTTCTTGGGGCTGTTTGAACACCTCTTGAGCCGTCTGGAGGCTACTTTGGCGTCTTGGACGGGTAATTCGGCGATTCATGTACAGCAACCCTGCACAAATAACCCTACACAAATGAAACCAGGGCTTTATTCTCAGTGGGGAGAAATAAGGCGTCCGACAAAACATTGGGTTATCAGGAGGGCAGGACCAAATTCTGGGTCACAAAGGGGACCTTTTCAAAAGGCCCTCAAGGACCGTCTTGGGGGCCTTTTGGGCCCCTCCTGCCGCGCCTTGGGGCTCCTCTGGGCCCCGGGACCGCCCGCCGGGCGGGCATGCGCATCGGGGGGCGACCCCCTCCCGGGACCCTCCCCGGGACCCCCCTCGGGACCCCCCCTCCCGGCAGGAGGGGATCAAAGGGAAGTCGGGGCCTGGGAGACGGGGGTCAGTGCAAACGGGGGTCATCCAGGGCACCGGATCCTGCAGGATCCTGCGAAGACCCCCCTCTGGCTGACCCAGGTTAGCGAGCCGCTCGTGGCCGCGAGGCGGCCGCGCCTATTGGCTGACCCAGGTTTGCGAAGACCTGCGCTGCAGTTTTTTTTTTTTTTTTTTTGTTTCATGTATTGTAGTTTTTGCTTTCCTGCTGACCCGGGTCTGGATTGACCCGGGTCAGAAGATCCCTGAGGAAGTGGCTTCCCTTCGACTCATCTACGACGTTGCTCAATTTGCTCAATGTCGGTTTGGCTGGCGCGCTTGAGGAGGAGGGCCCAGGGAAGGGAGACGGGGGACGACGGAGACGACTATTGACGGAGACGACGAGGAGACGACGGGAACGCAGACGATGACGGAGACGACGAGGAGACGACGGAGACGACACGACGACGAGGGCCCAGGGAAAGGAGACAGGGGACGACGGAGACGACGGAGACGGACACGACGACGGAGACGAAACGACGACGACGACGGCGACCAACGAAAGCGCGTCTTCGACACGCCGACAGGGTCGGCGGATCTGTCTATCTCATTAGTGACCTATCCGTCGGGACATCCACTGGGATAATCCTCGGGACAGCTAACGTGACAACCAACCGTCGGGAACTCTCGTGTCAACCATAGGGATAACCACCGGGACAACCACCGGGACAACCATCGATCGTGACAGCAATGCCTCGGGTCAACCGTCGGGATAAGCAAGGGGAGAGGCATCGGGACAAATATCCAGACAACCTCCTCCTCCTCCTCCTCCTCCTCCTCCTCCTCTTCCACCATCGGGACAACATTCGGGAAAGTCATCGGGACAACCATCGCAGCGACCATCGGGGCAGCCAGCCAGAACAACCTGGTGGCGTCCAGGGGCCACGATCCCGACACGGGGCGATCCAGTTTGGCCTGACCTAGCTCTCAGTGGGGCAGGAATTCGCGTATCCGTAGCCATGTCGGCTCAAGCCGCTTTTGGTTCAGCCCGACACGCCCGACACGTCCGCTTGCGCTCAACGTGCCCCGGGTTTGAGCCGCACCCTCCACACGCGCGCTCTTGCTCGCGACGCTGGTGGGCAGCTGCCCCGGCGAGCCCGGCGTGGGGAGGGAGTCCTTCCCTAGTTCCAGCGAGGACGACGCGGCTGGCCTCGCGCAGTTGCGGATGACTTTCAGCCACCAGAAGGTTCGAGCGGAACCTGTCAACGCCCCGATGGGGGACCGGGGGAGGCGCGGGCCTTCGCGATGCGCAGGGCCTGGCGCCCGTCCTCGCGTGCCCGAGCCCCGACATCGCGGCCCACAACCCGATGCCGGACTTCCACATCGACCTCGACGCCGCCCCCAGTAGCCGTTGGGACGCGGTTGCCGCCGAGCTGAAAGACGCCTACGCGTCGGTGAAGCACATCCTCGACGGCACCCTCGAGGGCATGGCGAAAGTGGCCCTGGCAGGGGCGTCGACCTGATGGGCCTGCTCAACCACTCGGTGGGCCAGGCCGAAGATTCGTTGGGACCGAGTACTACGAGGAGATGCATGGCTTGGCCGCTGCTTTGGGGGAGCCCTTTGAGGACATCTGGGCATTTACTTTGATCTACAGCATCTCTGGCGGGTGCACGAGCGTCGTCGGTAACGACATGGAGGCGGGCACCGTCGTCCACGGCCGCCTCCTCGACTACCCCATGGCAGTCAAGCCGATCCAGCTGCATGCAGTGTTCACCAAGGGAGGTAGCACGGCGTTCGAGTGCGTCATATATGTGGGGTTCATCGGGTGTTTGACGGGGATGGTTCCTGGTGGGTACTCGATCTCTTCTGAACCAGAAAGACACGACACAATCTGAATGATGCAGCGGCAGCGGCGACGAACTATTTCCGGGCACTTGAAGGGTCAGTGGAGCCAGCGATGTGTATTCGCAATCTGCTCACGGACGAGGTGTCTTGGGGCCAGCCTATGTTGGCAAAGGTTGCAAGCACACCGCTGACCAGGGCATGCTACCTCACAGCTGCGGGCGTGGGTAAAGACGAGGGCGCGGTATTCAGTCGAACAGCTGGAGGAGTGGACGAGTCTCGCTGGATGGATACGTCGTTGGCCTCTCAGATGTTGCCTGGCCTCGACCTCAACATCAACCCAGACTTCGATGGCAAACCCTTCGTCTTCATCACGAACGACAATGGGGATGATCGAAGCGGTTACGGAGAATGCGACGATCGAGGAACGTGCGCGTGGAACAAGCTCAACGAGTACGACAGTTTCAACACCAGTGACATGTGGGACGTCATACTGAACCCGTGTCAACAGCAGAGCAGCACACTCATCGCAACAGTGATGAGTCCGAAGGACGGCTCATCCAACCCACTGTCCATGTGCCCGTATCCACAGCTATCTGCCTCGCTTCGCTAGATTGGACCGATGAATTAAATCGCGGTTGTTTTCTCCGTAGTTATCTGCTCTGGGTACTTCGTCGGCCGCGCACCTATCCAAAGGGTTTCTGACCAGCTAGCGCGCGTGAGCAGATTCAACATGATTGGGCGGCCCAGGAAGGGCTCCACAGAGTCGGCTGGTGGTCGCAGGATGCCGCCAGAGGCTCCAACAGGGCGCTTTGAGACCGCTCTCATTCAAAACAGGCGTACCATCATTTGGCCTCGCGTCATTTCTCCTCTGTCTCGCTCCCCGAACTTCTATTCGACGCCGCCCTGGAACTGGCGCCTCACGCCGACGTCGCCGTCCCCTTGGCTCTTACCGCGGCGCACTCGACGGCCTCTGCACAGCCGCGAGGGTCCAGGATGTCTCATAGCAGCCAGCAAGTTCCTGTCCAAGGCGTACCTTTTCCTGTGCAAAAGCTCTTCGGCACCGCCTGTTCTCCGCACCCTCGGCCGCCTGAGCCCCCGCCCGCCCGCGCCCTGTCTCCCCGATTCGTGCTTCGCGCGCCCCGCCCAGCTCTTGACCGGAAGAGGCCCGCTCTCGACCCGCCGACCACAAAGCAGCCAGCAGGTCTCCTCCTCCTCCTCCTCCTCCTCCTCCTCCTACTCCTCCTCCTCCTCCTCGCGCGGGGTGTCACGGCCAGCGCAGCCGGGCCTGACCCAGCGGGAGGCCGCGACGACCCAGCGGGCTCCGCAGCTCCGGCGGCCCGCCGAGCGTCAGGTGTTGCGCCCACCAGGAAACAAAACGAGGGCCTCGACAAATTTGTTTTTGCATTTTTTCATGTATTTATTGGTGGCGTCAAACGCGGTCGTCGCCGATCGCTTGCCCTGATTTAGCGATTTCGGTCGACGGAGGCACGCGAATCGCGCGAGTTTCCTTCTCGTAACTGCTTTTGCCGTGTGCCGCGTTTTCATGGCGCACGCGCCGCGCCTGGCCCTTTCAGATTCAATCGCTCGTACTAGTGCGCGGGCCGCACGCAGGCCGCAGTCCACGCGCGCTTGCGCGGCGCACCGCAGCGCGCTTCGAAACGATGTTGGGCACAATGGCATTTTTAGCGCAACGCCGCGAAATTGTTAGCCACCTCGCGCGGGTGATGCCGAACGCACGCGTGTCCCACCGCATGTGCGCCGCCGGAGCTAATTTTCCGATTTCGGTCGTGAATAGTATCGCGGGCGTGTGTCAGGCGCCTTCGACGCGCCATGTAGGCCCGCGCCGTGCGCGCCCACGCATCAGGTCAGAAACATATCATCTTACTACTTCCGCGTAATGCAGCGCGTGCGTTGCAACGCTGTTAGCCAAGGGCGCTGGTGCGTCGCCGAAAACCACAGCCAGGTTCCCTTGGCAGGAGGACTGGCGGGGGGCGCTCATATTCACCACCTTAAGGGGAGCCGCCAATGGTTCTCTCACGGTCCCGTTCGCAGCCGTTTTGTGGGGATGTCTCAAGCGGTGTGCTTGTTTTCTGTCCCAGCATCCTTCGCTCTCGGAGTAGATTTGGAGGATGTCTCGAGCGAGGCGCTCCACTTCACCCCCCCAGGTGGGCCAGATTTTGAGGATGTCTCGATCGGTGGCCAGACTCGTGGGCGCTGGTTTTCCTGGGGATGCCACAGGAGGCTCCAACAGGTTCCAGGAGGCCCGTGGAGACCACATGAGGTCCCAGGATGAATCAGGATGCCACAGAAAGACCCAAGAGGCCACAGGATGCCCCAAGAGGCTCTAGGAGGCCCCAGGAAGCTCCTGGAGGCTTCAGGAAGCCACAGGAGGCCCCAGGAGGCCAGAGGAAGCGCCAGGAGGTCTCCGGAGGGCAACAGGAGGCCCCGAGAGGCCCCAGGAGCAGGAGGCCTCAGAAGGCAACAGGGGTGGTTCCAATCCCATGTGTTTTACGTATGCTCTCATATATTGGGCCTCACCTGGGGCACGAATCCTTGATGTTATACGTATGTTTCTATAGATTGTCCATATCCTGTGTACTTATGTTCCTATAGGGCCTCTCCTAGGGCACGACTCCTTGGTGTTGTACGCGTGTTCCTATAGATTGTCCCTTTTTTTTCTGCGGCTCCAAGTCGCAATGTTTTATGTGCGACTGTTGCTATAGATTGGGCCTCTCCTCGGGCACGAATCCTCCCTAGGAGGTCCCAGGAGGCCCCAGGGGGCCCAAAGAGGCTCCTGGAGGCCCCAAGAAGCCCCAGTAGGTCCCCAGGAGGCCCCAGGAGGCCCCAGGAGGACCCAGGGACATGCGCAGAGACGCGCTCGTACTACTGAGGCTCATTCACACTCCAATTGATTCTCAGTTAGATTCATGACCAGACCGTCACAACTGAAACCCGTTTATACTCGAAAGTTTTTGCGCCTAGATTCTCACGGCGGACAGGTCCATGGGAATAAATGCGCATATGGGGAGCCCCACGCAGTGAATATTTGAATCCCCTTAGGGGGGTGACAATGAGCGCCTCGCTCGAGACATCCTCCAAATCTGCTCCGGAAGCGAATGATGTCGGCACAACTAACAGGCAAACCCGCTTGAGACATCCCCACAAAACGGCCGCGAACGGGACCGTGAGATAACCCCTCGGCGGCTCCTTAGGGACGTGAAAATGAGCGCCTCGCTCTAGACATCCTCCAAATCTGCTCCGAAAGCGAAGGATGTTGAAACAGAAAACAGGCAAGCCGCTGGAGACATCCCCACAGAACGGCCGCGAAGGGGACCGTGAGATAACCATTGGTTGCTCCCCTAAGGGGGGTGAAAATTAGCGCCTCGCTCGAGACATCCTCTAAATCAGCTCCGATAGCGAAATATGCTGGGACAGAAAACAAGCAAACCGCTTGAGGCATCCCCACGAAACGACCGCGAACGGGGCGCGCGTGAGTCTCAGCATGAGTAAGTCTGAGTCGGAGCAGGTCTGAGTATGAGTAGGTATGAGTATGAGTAGGTATTTGTGTGTGAATATGTGTCTGAGTTAGTCTGAGTGTGAGTCAGTCTGTATATGAGTAAGTCGGGGCATGAGGAGGAGAGGGCAGGAGAAGAGTGAGAAGGAGTAGGAGGCGTCCACGTAATAACAAAAAACCATCTTAGGATATGGCGAACATGCAAACTGCACCAAACCCTCGATGGGGATTACCCGTCTGACATGCAACGCCATCCGCGCGGGGCGAACATCACGCGGTGATAACGGACTGGGGCCACCGTCGCACTGTAAAATCCAATCCGTGAGCTCCCATCGGGGCATCCAGGCGCGCGGCGTTCCCCCTGCTGACAGCACGCCCTGGAAGAAACAAAGAAAACGAGCACGTCGCATATTTAGAATGAGGGCGGCCCGGCCATACCAATCGTCGCAACTGCTCCCAAATATGCCGTCCCCCCCCCCCATCGGCCCTATGTCATTCAAACGTCCTCTGCATTGATGCGAACTGCCATGGCGGCGCACACTGCCCCCAACGACGGCCGACACCGCTGAAGGTGATCATTTTTCATAGAGACAATCACGATGCGACGGCCCATGCGGCCCAAAATGATTCACACCAACCCGAGGACAATCCAAGAGCTCCCAAAAAATACCGCGCGCTGTCAGCGAGGATGCTTTTCGGGCGCCATCAAACTGATCAGACACAAGAAAAAGAAAAGGAACGTCACGCTCTCGCCCTTCTGGGTATTAGAGCGCTCGGCACCACCCGAAGAACCGCCCAAATCGCAGCAAAACGGCCGGAAAGGGCCAGAGGAAATTGAATGCGGCATGACCCCTCCTCTTTGTTATCTTCTACCCCCCGTCACCCCACTTCGCCATCATATTAATCCCCTGCCTCCTCACGTTACCCCCCTTTTCTCCTGTTATCCTCCTCCTCCTTCTCATCCTCCTTCGCCTTCGTCGTCCTGGTGTTCTCCCACTCCCTCGCCCCCCTCAACCGCCCTCGTTATCCCTCCCCTCCCTTTCCCCGTGTCATCCACGCCTTCCGCCTCATCCTCCTCCTCCTCGCCGCATTGCCCCTTCCCCCCCTCATTCGCGCGCACTTCCCATTCCACGCTC